CAGCTAACTCGAAGAACCTTTTGTTGGTGTTTCTTACATTAATGAACCACCGTTTTTGGGAACTAAACCGTTTTGGTGTAGCTCTTTCTGTGAAATGGGCGATACTGTGCGTGCACAATAAACAGGGAGCTACATTGAAAAATAAAAATAAAAATTCTTCTTACGCAAGTAAGGAAAAAAAAAATTGTTCATAAAACTTTTTTGTATTATGGGTAAAAAGGTTTTTTGTAATACAAGTCATGAAAAAAGTTATAGCAATATAAATAACTAAATTAATTAATTTAAACAATTAAAAAACTAATTAGTCACATAACAAAATTTTGACACAAAAGTTTAAAAAAAACTAGAAATTATAGTGTAGAACTTTTCATTACAATTTTGATTTAGGCCTGCAAACTAAAATTGTACACATAACCTCGACTTTGTAATTTTTATAATCCTATTGGCTATCGTTGTTTTTAAATAGATATGAAATGCAAAACAAAATGTATAACTCGAATAATTTTTTTGTTTTTTGTTTTACAGCGACGGCTAATAAAACGTTCTAATCTACAATTAAAGATAAAAACAACCCTAAATTGAGTAAGTTGGTTATATTCAAAAAAAATAATAATAATAAATTAATGATTCCTGTCATTAGGTTGTTCTCTCATACTAATTTTATCAGGTTATAATCGTAGTTAATAAAACTTTTAATTTTGAAAAACATTGTTGTTCGTATTAGTGGATAACTTTGTTTGTACAGCCATCATGATCGTCATTCTTTTGGGGGCAAGGGCTCTGCCGCACTGCCATTGCGCCACGGCCGCACATTCTCTTGTAATGCCTAATTGTAGCATTCCTTAGTAACTTTTTTTTAGTATTATTTACGTAGAATAATTATGCTTTCTTGCATGTTTTTACATATTTATATCAGATATATTAAATATCCTTACTTATTAAAAAATCATATAAAAAAATTATTACATTGAATTTGAAAAGTAAACAATTTTATTGAAAAAGTAATCGACGGTATTTTTATAGGTAGCCCAGTGAACACGCTTTAGTTAGTCCAACTGTCGGGCCAGTATTAGCTATAGTTGGCTAACAGTTAGCTTAACGCACCAACCATTAACCGACTATTTACCGCTAGTTTTTGAATTTCCCGTACAGTAAGTTTTATAAAGGTATTTTAAGGTTTAATAGCGTGATCTAAGTGTATAGTGTGAAGCAAGTTATCATTAAGTTTCTTTCAATCTCTTTTTTACCTTGTAATAAAACCGTTTAACTAAAACTTTCTTTTACCTTTTAATAAAACCGTTACGTTTTTAAGTACAGACATTTTACATTTGTCCATTAATTACACATCCAGATATAATTCTTGATGTATATATATATATATATATATATATATATATATATATATATATATATATATATATATATATATATATATATATATATATATATATATATATATATATATATATATATATCGATTGATGTTAAATTTGTATTACAATATTAATACAAAACTCTATTTCGGTTAAGAGTGCTCAATAATAAAGAAAGTAAACAACTTTCTAACTAGAGCGGTATATATATATATATATATATATATATATATATATATATATATATATATATATATATATATATATATATATATATATATATATATTTACATATAGAAAAAACAACTTTTCATGGGACTAATAGTTTCATGCCTATACGGCAATCATCAGCCATGTATTATATCAAAAACAAACAAACCGTTAATAAAATTATCTGACGTCTCTGTAGAGACAAAAAAAGAAAACGTCAAAGAAAATCTTATATAAATCAGCTAATCGCCAGTATCATAAAACGAAAGAAGGAATTTATTTTTATGTCTACAATTTGAAACCAACTCGTTTCTTTTGTTCAACAGGTTTTCCCCTGTATGCGTTAAAATAAAATACTTTTCATTAAGACAAAGATTGCAAATTTTGGACGAAGGGTTATATGTTTGGCAGCGCTTGATAATTTTCCATTTAGTAACAAACGAAAAGTTTTCTTCTTTAAGTTTCCAAATTTCTTTAGATAACTCCGTATCATTGCTGTACTTAATTAAATTAAAAGATTTTAAATGGTTTGCATACCTTAACTTGAAAGGGGTCTCGCTGTAATCTGGTTTATTGGATAAAACAGTAGCTTGATACACAATGCTCTTACTTAGACACTGGTTGTTCATAACGCAGGTAGATTTATTGATGCAGTTGCAAGTTTTTGTTGTTGTTTTTTCATGATTGTATAAAATATTTTGATTATGCGAATTTATGACTGATTTAACGTTCGGCATACACGAGTAGCTAATTTTAATGGTGTTTCTGTTAAAAATCTTGTGTAATAAATGACCAACAGGAAAGCTTGCATCATATATATACATATATATATATATATATATATATATATATATATATATATATATATATATATATATATATATATATATATATATATATATATATATATATATATATATATGTATATATATATATATATATATATATATATATATATATATATATATATATATATATATATATATATATATATATATATATATATTTATGAATTAGTAGAAAATCACTTAACAAATATTTTCTTTCATTTTACACTGTGTTTCATCAACAAAGACTCATCAGAAATCTATGCGCTATATATATATATATACATCTATGCGGTATATATTCCAGAAGTTTCTAGAAGCATCTTGAAGCATCCAGAAGCATCCAGAAGTACCCAGAAACATTCAGAAGCATCAAGACGTATCCAGAAGCTTCCAGAATCATCGAAAAGAAGCATCTAGAATCTTCCAGAACAGGTTCGCACAGGTTCATTTTACTATATAAGAGACATGTAAACCGACATGTAATTCAGTCAGTATATGGAAGTCAATCAGTCAGTATTATCAAGACAGTTTATCGAAGTAAGTTTTATTAAAGTGCTTTATCGAAGAACATCAATACAAGAAAGTCACTAACTGTTTATTATTCAAAGCAGATACCCTAGGCATTTACAGAGAGGTATATATGAGCAACGAGATTTATGACTTTAGCAAATATCCTAGAGATCATTCATTCTTTGAGGAGAGTAACATAATATTTTAAAGTCATTCAACTTTTCGAATTTTGTTGCCTTTAGACCAAAAATATATAGTATTATTAAAGCTGGATGAAAAAGCATGTTGAGATGATAATTTTATTCCGAAGATAAGATGCTCGAAATGTAAGCTATGTTGGCATAACTAATATAGGTGTGAATAAATGAGTAATAAAGTTGGGTTAAGGCTTTTTTGTTTAAATATGATCTGGATTTATATAAGACTCCGTTACTTTTAGATATTTTTGAGCAAATATAGTCTATCAGCGGTTTCCATGTGATGTTCTCGTCGAGAACCACTCCTAAAAATTTAGTAATAAAATCTCTTTAAACTTTATCAATAAACATTTTAGGCAAACTTTGGGGTAATTTTTACAGTTGTCTTTATAATGAAGTATTTTTAAAACTATTTTTCTCGCATTATTATTTTTTTTTTCTAATTCTATGACCCTTCTCAATATCAACGATTTTAATGATTAGTTTTTAACTTTGTTAACAATGCTTTTTTTTTTCTTTTAATTTCTAATTTAACTTATTGAATAAGTAATAAGTTATAATAATTATCAACATTTTGTCATCCTTAAAAATTACTCAGTAATCATCATTACTTTTCTTTTCATAATAATATCAAATAAGATTTTATTCAACACTAAATTATCTTTATAATATCGATCATATCAATAATTCAGAGAAATATCGATCATACCTACAATTCAGAGAAATAAGAAGAAATAAATTTTGAATAGAAATAAGTTTTGAAAAAAAAATTTGACTTCATAATTCCTTCTTTGAGCACCACACCTTTGGCAATAAGTTATCTTTAAATGATATATACAAATCTGAAAAAATTAGTAATTTTGCTAAATTTATGTTTAAAAATGGGATAAAAAAGAATAAACCTGTTCGCAATACAAAAACAGTTGTGAAATTAGCAAAAAAAATTGTTGCAGTTAAGAGTTGAAAATAAAAACTCTTAAATGGGTTTATTAATTTATATATATATATATATATATATATATATATATATATATATATATATATATATATATATATATATATATATATATATATATATATATATATATATATATATATATATATAATATTGTTTTTAGGAGCTCCAAAAAGACCTAACGGTTTTGTCACAGAGCATCTTGGAATTACATTTAACTAGGAAGTTCAATTTTTTTCTTATCGATGACGCGAGATATGCCCAGAGCATGCTACTAAAGCAAGCCATCTAACCACTGCGCCACGTGCTGCCTAATTCGCCACATACATTTACAAACATTCGTTTAAGGCGAGCTATAAAAATCATTATAAGTTTCAAAATATGTAAAAAAAAGTTTTTTCTCAAATCTTTTCCCTTGTTTGCATGCAAAGTACACAAATAGATGTGCGTGCAAAGTACACAAATAGACGCGCGTGCAATTTGTGTTTAGAGTTGATAAAGAAATATATTTATGTTTTTTCTCACTCAATAAAACACATATTCATTTGAAAATTAAATAGCAGAGACCTAGTTCCCGTGGTAACTTTTCAATTTTTTTTTAAATTTTAAGAGATAAAAAGTTTTAAGAGTTTGAAAATAAAGTGCCATAGATTAACAGATTTTTTTATCTGGTGATGTTTTTAGAGCTCCTGGTGTAATTTTTTTTTTAATTTGAAAAACTTTTTTTATATTATTTTTTTTTAATGATTTCGAAGTGTTTTTAATTTAACTTTTTCGACTGTTACATTATTTTTCAAACTGAAATTTTCAAGATGTCTTTACATAAAGTAATTGTTTAACTCTTGCGGTTGTTTATATAAATCAAATAACTTAAAAATTTTAAAACTATGGAGGGATTTATAAAAATGCACAAATCACAAAAAACTTAATAAACTACGAATTTATTTACATCTTTTTTAAAAAAGTATCAAAATATAAAAAAATACATGTTAATTTTATTTAAGGACTAACGTCCATGCAAACATGAACTATGTAATTTATTTGACGCATGATGTCAATACAGAAATAATACTTCGCCAAAATGCAACCAACAAATATTGAAAACTGGGGTCTGGGGTTGAACCTGTAAAAAAAGATGAGAGGCTGGAAAAAACAAGAATAATGTGTACAATTTCACTTCAACTTTTTTAATTACGTTATTTCTTTTTAAAAGTTGGATTTGTCCCAGCTTCAATAAGTATTGATCCATGTTGATGTTTTGTGCGCAAAAATGTTTTCCATGCAATAGATCTCCACGTCATATTCTAATAATTGAGCTTAGGTTACTAATTTTGGTCAGTTAAATCTTGGTCAGTAAAATGAGTGTTATCAGTGTTTTCTTTTTTTGTATGGATAAATCCATCATTCAAATCTTCGCGTAAATTAAAAAATATATTATTATTGTTACTCTTTTTTAAGCATGCTGCGTCACCTGCCATATTTATTGATTGCAGTAAAGATAAGCTCTCATATTTTTCACCAAGTTTAATTTCTTCGTATTCTTTCTTTTTAGTCTGTGTTGAACTTTTATCTTCTATACAAAACCTTGTTGTTTCATCTTTAGAACTAACGGAAGGAGAATCATGTTCACTATTTGTTTCAATTACAGATTTTGTATCCTCTAGTTGCTTCATAAGAACAGCAACAACTACATTGACCAATACAAATTGTGAAGTAAGCACGAAGACTGCAAAATAAAGGGGGGATATATACGGAAGAAACGGACAAGGTTCAACACATAACTTTTCATTGATCGTATCCTAAAGTGATAATAAAAAAAAACGTTAGAGTTTATGATTTTAAAAAATTCTTTATGATTTAATATGATAAAATTGTTTTATCTACTTTAAGTATTCCACTCCAGTTATCGCCGGTTGATATTCGAAAAAGAGTAAGGAGAGCATAATCAAAGCTTTTAAAGTGAGCGTGACGACCAATACCATTACAATCATCTCTGCTACAATCTAAATTTTATGTAAAATTGGAAATAACAAAATAAACACACACACACACATATATATATATATATATATATATATATATATATATATATATATATATATATATATATATATATATATATATGTATATATATATATATATATATATATATATATATATATATATATATATATATATATATATATATATATATATATATATATATATATATATATATATCATGGCCTACTTAAATACACGCCCGGGCTTGTTGCTTACAAGCCCGAAAAATAGTAGGCCAGTTTTAACGATTTATTAAACTTATTATTTATTAAACTAATATCTAAAAATATATTTCAAATGTCAAATATATATTTCAACAAAAATATAGCTTGAGAAAAAAATATAAGCCAAAAAAATGAAGCTATAGAACAACATAACTTATCAAAAAATAAAATAGTTTTAACAAAAAAATACAAAAACCAAACTTAGCCACCATAAATTAGCTTTAGAAAAAGATGACGATAAGGCTATAGATAAGCAAATCAACACAAAAATTAAATATACAGAGTCCAAACAAAAGTATACCTATAGCAAAAATAAGTATAATAAACTAAGTTTGTTTCTTGTTGTGTCGATTTTTAAAGGCTACTATTTCATTTTTTCGAATCTTTCCATTTTAACTTGATTGTTCATTATTATAAAATATATTAATAACAGTTGTGTGAATATACTGTCTTCCTGTTTCTAAATGGTCAGAACACATAAAACAAATGTTATTTTTGAACAATTCAAGTGCAGCTAGAGCTGAATTTTTCAATTTGTTGGAATATTTAGTTAATAACAATTTGTTGGAGTATTTAGTTAATAACAATTTGTTGGAATATTTAGTTAATAACAATTTGTTGGAATATTTAGTTAATAACAATTTGTTGGAATATTTAGTTAATAACAATTTGTTGGAATATTTAGTTAATAACAACTTGTTGGAATATTTAGTTAATAACAATTTGTTGAAATATTTAGTTAATAACAATTCTTTAGTGATGTCTAATCTGCAAAAAAAGGAGCAAACATATTCTACCATATTTTCACTAGGTTCAGTTAACCCTCCCCTTGATAGTATTTCCATATAAGGGGAAGATATTTTGTTAGTTTGAAGAAGATCTTGACACAAAGAGCATTTAAATTTGGATTTAATTTTTTTTGTTTTATACCCAGCAACATAAATAACAACTTCCTTTGAACTTTCACATAAATCATATTCTTCTATTTCATTTTGTAATAGAAGTAAAGCTGTTTCAAGTTCTTTTACATCATTATTGACTGGTACTTCATTATTAAACCATGTATTCAATGCCAGAGTTTCTTTAATTAGAGATTTTATGCTAATTATTTTTTCAGAACTTTCAACTTCACGCAAACTAACTAGAAACCTTCCGCTTATCTGCCTAAGTTTCCCAAAATGTTTTTCAATAGGATCAGTTTGAAATCTACTGGTTAAAATGTAATCATATCCTTCTGAAAGTAAATCTTTGATTAAAGATGCAGTTCCTTTTAATGTGACTATTAGTGCATTTGATGTCTGAGCTGAAAGTGACAATTTGTGACATCCCTGTAAATTTGTATTATACCATTCACTTACATATTGAGCAAAAGCATTTAAAAATTCAGGTTTTTGATCATTTGCAACAACAGCATTTCCTATTTTATTATTAGTATTATATATATTCTTTGAATTTGAAATTGTTCACCAAGTATTTATCGAATATAGAAAATTAGCAGCACTTAACTCTTTCGGAAAATAACTTTTTCAAAGCCAGTTTAACACTTTGTTTATTTTTTCCTGGATGTAAACCAGTTGGAGTAAGTTTGTAAGCTTTCTTTAAATTAGGAGGCATTAGGCTTTTTCATTAACTTGGTGAAATAACTGCCAACGAATATCTCCAGCTTCATTTCACGTTAATTGAATCCTCAAATTTATCAAAATTGAATTTTAGGAAAATAAATCTCTTAGAATGTAATAAATTATTTCTGATGTTTTTTAAAATATGTACACTATCAAATAATGTATAAATTTTATCTTGTTCATAATAAAAAAAAAGTTTTCAGTAGAGTTATACTTTTTTATGAGTTTTTTAAATGCGAGTGTATTAGTTGAATGGTTGTCTGTGATGATAGCAGGAATTCGAAAATTAGCATCAAAAAGATTTGTTAGACACTTTAATTTCAGTCATCAACAATTTCCAGAAATACTTGTTTCAGGACATGTTTTAACAACAAAAGGTATAGAACGTTTAATACCAACTAACATAAAAACTCCTGAATAAAGTTTTCCATTCTCATCTTTTCCAACAAATTTACCACCATGATATTGAACACTTTTTGCAAGTACATTTCATCAATTAACAAAAGTGAATCTTATTTTTTCTTCTTTTAATAAATATTTTAATGCTTTAATTGGTTTGATTCCACCTTGAGTTAATGCTTTTAAACAGAGATGTAGGTCTCGAGACCAAAGTCTTGGTCTCGAGACGCCTCGAGACACATATTTCACTGTCTTTGTCTTTGTATTGGTCTTGAAGCCTAAAGTCTTGGTCTTAGTCTTGGTCTCGAAGTCTAGAATCTTGGTCTTGGTCTTGGACCTCTACCGACTTTTACTTTCTTGGCTCTTACGAAAAATATCAACTCAATAGGCCGGGTGAATAAAAAGAAGCAATTGCTTTTACTAAGTAATTGGTCAGCATAACGTAAATAAAAACTTCAGCAATCTTGTCGAAGTTTTTATTAACGTAAAGCTGAGTAATTACTGAGTAAATTACTTAACTTTACATGAATAAAATTTGACCAAAACTTTTAAAGTTTTTATTCACGTAAAGCTGACCAATTATTGAGTAAAAGCAATTTCCCACTCTTAATGGTAGCTCGTCGCGTTGGTTTGACAAATTTCTAAATTTATGTTAGAAGAATTAAGAAAAACTCTTTTAGATTTTTTTTAAAAATGTTTAATTTATATTATTATTTTTATATAAATAATTTATATTATTATTTTTTTATTTGTTTTCTTTTTGTGATCAATTTTATTTGTATTCTTTTTGTGATCAATGTTTAAAAATGCATAAATAAGTAAAAAATCAGTCCATAAAAATTTGTATTTAGACATTAAAAAAAGAAAAAAAAGTTTTATTTGCTATTCTCCTTATATAAAAAAAACAATAACTTTGAACCTTGTCAAACAATGCGACGAGTTGTATCAAGAAAAAGTTTTTTCCTTTAAACATACCTTTGTTAAACTGTCAAAATGGCTAATAAATTTCCCGCAATTATTAAATTTGGTTATTATGATTTTCGTGAAAGTCATCAAGTAATTAAAAACGAAGTTAAGTTCAAAACTCATTCTAAGTGTAATATTTGTTAAGAACCAATAACTAAAACTAAAGGTACAACTTCTAGCTACACAAGGTATGTTAGTAACTGCTGCTTGGTATGCCATATTGCAATAATGTCTTTATCTTCTTAAGGTGGTGCTATCCTATTTTTATAATTTTAAAAACTGTTTTTGTATGATACACTTTTAAGTTTTTTTTAAGTAATTGTAAATCATGGTAACTTTTTTTTTTAAGTTTGATAATAATTATGGAAAAAAAATTAAAAACAAACAAACAAAAAAGCAAAAACAGAAAAAGTTTAAAAAAAATTTTAGGCAGCACTCATGTTAATAAAGTTGTAAGGAAAAGTTAACAAACGGGTTAAATTTATAATTTAGAAAGAACGTCAATGTCAATATTTTTACTTTAAGAAATAAATTCTTCTTTCCGTTTTTTAACAAAATGAAATAGTTTTCTTTTAAACGTTTTTTAAAAGAGAACTATTTCATTACGTAAAAAAGGTTTTCTCCACCATAGATTTAAAGTCTTTAAAATAACTAAAAAACTAGCTTATTTTTAAATTTAGAAAAAAGGAGAAGTGCTTTAGTTTGAAAGAATTCGACAGAAATACTAAAGGATCTTTATTGTTTCGGTTCTTCATCAAAGATTAACAATATATTGTTTATTGAAAAAAAAATTACTTTGTTCTTCTAAGTAAATCTACCTTTTTTGTTTTTGTTTTCATGTGTTTCTAAATTTAAGGTTTTTTAATATGCCGACCCTCTGATTTGTTAGGACCCATTTTCTTAGATTAACAATTATAAATAAAAAACAAAAAAAAATGTTCAAATATATTGATGTTTTTAGAAAACAAAAAGTATTTTGTCTATTTAAATTATACCTTTCAACTTTTTAATTTTTTTATTTTAGACATTATAGTAATGTTCACCCTGAAAAACACGCAGAGTATGTGGCACAGAAACATATTAATTTCAATCACAAACAAATAATTATTGACACATTCTTTACAAAACAGAATAGTTCGTATGGATCGCAACATCCTGACCAAATTAAAATTACAGACTCCTTAGTTGCAAACCTTATTGTTGGTTGCTCACTTCCATTATCTCTTGTTGAGAATTCAAATTTTCGGAAATTTATCTGCGATATAAATAACAAGTACGTATGACCATCACGAAGCCATCTAACATCTCAATCAATACCAGAGGCTGTTAAAGAAAAAAGAGAACTTATTTCAAAACAAGTTCAGTCCATTGGGCATATAGCAATGACTGTTGATATATGGACTGATAGAAGGATGCATTCATATCTTGCTTGTACGGGACACTACTTTTCTGATGGCAAGCTCCAAAATTTTCTTTTGGCTTTTCGTCCAGTCAAAGGAAGGCATAATGGTCAATTAATTGCAAATGAACTAAATAACATCATTGAGCAAAATCAAATCAGAACAAAACTAGGATGTGTTGTAACTGATAACGCCTCAAATATGAAAAAAGCTTTTGATGTGCTCAGTGAATTACAGGCTAATGAGAGTGAAGATGAATCTAAACATATTGTTATAGTTGATGACGAAGAAATGTGGAATGATCTGCATGAAGAAGATCAACTCATTGTGAACAAAGCTATCGAGCAACATGCAACTGAAACATTGGCCTGCTATGCACATTCTTTGCAGCTGTGTGTAAAAGATGGACTAACTCATCTGAAAACAGCTAACAGTTTGTTAGCCAAATGCTCAAAGCTGGCAAATTTAACACAACAAAGTACACTTTTTCGTGGAAATTTTGAGTCAAAGTTTGGAAAAGGACGCTCTATACCAAAAACCAATGCTACAAGGTGGAACAGCGTGTTTGTTCAGCTGTCCAGTATTATCAGGTTGGATCCTGTAAAACTTTCGAATTTCCTCAGAGGAGACCATAGTAATCTTATTTTGACACAACGTGAGATAACAATGTTGCGTGAACTAGTAGAAGTTCTTCAGCCTTTTACAGAGGCTACAGATTTGTTACAGGGTGATAGCTATCCAACAATAGGATGCGTTGTGCCTTCAATTGTTGGCCTGCATAAGTGTCTTAACACACTCAGTTCAACTGTCAAGTATCACATTCCACTGGTTAATGGTTTGTTGAGCTCCTTGTGTGACAGATTTGGTGGATTGTTGCAGAATGTCAAAATTTTGCCAACAGGTGACAAAATTAAGAACCTAAATTTTTCTTCAATGCTTTACCTAATGGCCTCAGCCTTAGATCCCAGTTATTCGTTACTTTGGCTAGAGGAAGACCATCCTGGACCAGATGATGTCAAAAGATTTGTTCGTGAACATAATGCGAGTAAGTTAAAAAAGTTTTGTTTTTGTTTATTTTTATTGAACTATTAAGTTGTTATCGAATGAATAAAAAATTAACGGTGGTTTGTTGATTATAACTAAACTATTATAAGTATAATTATATTCTAATAATTCTGTTACAACTTGTCAGTTTTAAATTTTCATTGTTTTGTTTTTATGCTTTATGTTGAAAATATTGATTTTTCAGCTCTTATAACAGCAGAGGTTTCGGCCATTATAGTAAAGTCGCAAACCACTCAAGATCTATTGGCACCTTCTACTCAAAATTTATTGCCCCCAACAGTAGAAGAGGAGGAACCTCAAGAACAGCTGGACTGAAATGGTGGTGCTAGTAGTGACGTGACTTTTTCATGCAAGCGTAAATCAACGCTTTTGCTTCATACACAAAACGTCGTCAGAGAATTGAAATGAGACAAGAAAATATTGTTCCATTGTCACCAACCACTATTGCAACAGCTTTCATGGAAAAAATGGTTTGGATTGCATCAAGCACTTATGGAGAAGAGGCATGGGTGAAAGCTCAATCTGCTGAATATTACAATATTATGAATCCTCTGATAGAGAAGCTTTTTTGTATTCCAGCTTCTTCTGCACCAGTGGAGCGCGTATTCAGCCAGGGAGGTTTAATTATGCGACCGAATCGTGGCAGACAAAGTGATGAGATGTTATTGTCTCTTTTTTATTTGAAATGTAACAGTGATGTGTAAACCATAATTTCTGACAATGTTTAGTTTGTTTCTACTAGGATTAACTAACGTGTTATATAAGTTGTGAAGTCAAGTTGTACAAAAACCCGGTTTTTTATTTATGTTGTTTTTGAAATGACCCGTTAAATTTATTTTTTGTAAATATAGTATGCGGCTACTGGTCTAGCATGTCTGCTATTTGTTTTTAAATATTTTTTATTAGTACTTTTTGTTTTTAAAATTACAAAAAAAGTTAGTTTCTTATTGTTGTTATTATTACTGAAAGTTTTCTGTTTTCATTAAATATATCTTTTGTAGACTGCAGTTGTCATACGCGCGTAACTACGTTTTATTGTAAGGTAATGTTTATAAATGCTAAATTATCACACCAACTAAGATCTAGTAGCATTCAAACATTTTTTTTGACACAAGCAAAAACCCAAGCAAGTAGATCCAGCATTCAATATTCTAAACTGGAAACAATATATTAATACGTTATAATATATTATAAACACATTTACACTACCCTAAATAAAGAAGGGGCGTAAAGCTGGTCAATAAAAAGTACCTGTTTACTCTTTACATTAGTGAGCATGGGTTTTATTGGACTTCTTTGGACCTAATTCTTGATCCCGGTCTTGTAAAAATTTTTAAAGTCTTGGTCTTGGTCTTGGGTTGATTTTTTAATGTCTTGGTCTTTCTCTTTGTCTTGAAGTATTCAGTCTTGGTCTTGGTCTCGGTCTTGAGCCTAAATGTCTTGGTCTTGGTCTTGGTCTTGGCCTTTACTGCTTGACTACATTTCTGCTTTTAAATATAAAAATAAAGGAAAAATTCATCTAATAGCAAGTTATAGGCTTATCTTGAGGTATATCTTAAAACCAAAGCAAATCAAATAAGTTCATCACTATATAACTCTCTGCCATGTGATTCATAATACATAAAACTATAAAGTTTGCTTAAAATGTTTTTTTCTTTTTCTTCAAACCAATTTCTTATATAAGAAACTAAATTTTCTAACATACTGACACTTGTTAGTGTACACTTATTGTTTTGACGTAACCACTGGGGAAGAGGTATCAAATTTCCCTTATGGTACAATTTTACATGCAGATTGTTATCAACATTAATGCTTTCAATGTTAGTTGATGATGTTAGATTTTTAATGATATCACGATAATAAATAACACCACCATATATTTTCTTAAATAAAAAATTTTGAGGACAAACTTGTTCTGTCAAGTCATTAATTGAACAAATCTTATCAAGTTTGTTCAAAACCACTGTTTCATCTAGCAATGAATGAGAATTCTTTTTGTAGGAGTCTTTCTCAAAGTTATAGGTGTAGGAAGTAAAGATGGCTTTAAAAAACAATCTTTATTTGTATGAATTGTTGGAATAGGATTCTTTGTAAAGTCTTGTGTATTTCTTTTGCCTTGTTTAATAAATTTTTCTACGAAATGATCAATACATATTCCTAAGAATTTAGATGGTTTCCAGTTAATTCTGTTTATAAACTTGATCTACCGTGAGCATAAATTTATGTCTGAGGGAAAATTAAATACTGTTTTAGTAATAAAACCCTCTACAGTATTGTCATTTTTTTTCTTGTTGTAACCGCTTCTGCAAGCAACTACACAGCACTTTTTAGGCATTTTATAAGATAAATAAATAATGTAAAAAGATAAAATGAAAGTTTGTTTTTATTATAATAACAATAGTTGTAATTCTTTTAAGAACCACTTTAAGAAAATATTGAACTTGACTAAAAACTGGCATACTAATTATCGGACTTGTAAGCAACAAGTCCAGCTGTGTATTTAAGTAGGCCATGTATATACATATATATAAATAAATTTAAAAGAAATTACCTAGTCTGCCGAATAGTTCAATTCCCAATGCTGAGAAAATGAAAAAAATAAGAGCAAACAACATGGACAAGTTACCAACCTAAAATGAGAAAATCCATTAAAATAATTCATTTTTTTAAAAAACCAGATAATTAAAAAAAAAAAGTAAAAAAAATACCTGAGGGATTGCTTTACTGACACAATTTAAAAGCTTTTGTATTCCTCTGGCAGCTTTTAAAATTTTAAGAATACGAGCAATTCTCAATATACGCATAACTCGTATAATAGTTGGATTAATTGGTAACTTGGAATTTATTTCTTCAAATATAATTCCAATTATTGAAAGAAAAACAATGACAATATCTAACTGATTCCATCTATTAAAAATAAAATATAATTAAAATGTGTGTACAAAAAAGCAATGAAAGATAAAATATCAAAAAACAATACATTTATTTACTCTGAGTTAACATTAACACTAGAATATTTTATTTACAATTTTTTTAAAATAATAATTATCTTTTAATAATGTGCTCTTTTACAATTTATAAATTTTTTTGCAACTTTTAATTTTTATCATTTTCATCAACTTGATTTTTCATTTTTAAAGGCATCGAATTGCATTATTTTAAGCTCCATTTATTCATTTTATAATAATCCATTATAACTGTATAACATGGATACTGTAATAATAATCCTTTAACTCAGATAAAATTCAATTTTTTTTAGCCAATCGATATTGCAATAATCTAGATCTTTCCATATTTATGAAGGGTAATGTAATCAATGAGTCATCTACACTTCATCTTCTAGAATTAACTCTTACTTCCGATCTTACTTCCGAAACCATATATCAAATCAATTGCAAAATTAGCATCTGCTAAAGTTGCATCTCTTTATCATGCTCATCACTTTCTTACTGTTGCCATATCTGGGGCGGATCTTCCAATAATGTTCTTTCTCTTTTAGACAAGGTGCAAAAATGCATTGTAAACATAGTTGGACCTGCTCTTGGAGCCAACCACCAACCATTATCACATCATCATAATGTTGCTTCTCTTTCTCTTTTCTATAAATACTAAAATGGACACTGCTCTAAAGAGCTAGTGTCTCTTGTGCCATCTACTAAAATCAATTCTCGCGTTACTCATCATTAAAACTGATTCTTTTACTGTGACTATTCCTAAATGTTCTATATGCTTTAATAAGAAAATCCAGTACTTGACTTTTCAATTAGTGGAGAAATTGCTTCTTTTTTTGTGAGCAAAGAAATCTTGCAGAAGAAAATCACAATATTTTTGCTGTCTAGCTTCAGTGTCTTCTTTAGTGTCCTGCATTATTGACATGAGGAAGTGCATAAAATAAAAATATAATACTGAAATTGTTCATTTTTCGTTGCAAATTTATATTCTTGATCCTGAATAAAGTTTTAGATAACCTTGTGGTACTTTTCAGATTTAAAATAAATAAAGTAAAAAAGGCTAGAGGTTTCCAGTTTTAAGTCATTCTTTTGACCACTTTAAAGAAATGTTAAAATACAAAACTTCATCACTTGAATTTTTTGGCAAAACTAGTTTATAGTTTTGCCAAAAAATTCAAAAATAGAGCAAAAAGCGTGTTTTCACTCTATGTTTTGCAGTAAATTACAGATTATCTATTAAAAATAATAATAATATTGACTGATTTAAATAATATAATATTATTATTACAATGTTTAAAATGAAGGGGAACATTATCAGTCTGCTATAGCCAGCCCATAATAAGATTTACTTGAAAGAAATGAAGTAAAAGTAGAATAAATAAAATTTTTTTGATAATAGTTTGTTAAAACTAAATAATATTATTAACAGAGTTTGTATTATCTAATACTTTCTTATCAATATAGCATATACTCTTACACACAGTGTCAACACTAAAGTTACTAATGGCCACCATGCCTTACAAATAGTTTGCTAGCACTTTTCCAAGGTGGTTTGTTTAGAATCAGACAAAGTGCATTATGGAATGAGTCTTTTTGGAAAAGATACCAAATCTGAAAACCATAAATAGGACTGCAAAAGGCATTAAACAACATAATTTCTATCTCAACATAATCTTTATTCAAACATATAATGAGCAGAACTTCCTGTTAGCTTTAAAATACAAAGAACATGTTTCTTTTATACTGCTGTCATTGTGCATGTTGTTTGAGATCAGACTTCCCATGTATTTATATTGATTAGTTTAAATTACATTATTTAAAACTTGTTGTGGCTAAAATTATAGCATGCTTCAAAGCAAAACTAAAGCATAAGTCAAGTAGATTCAGGAGACCTTTGACTGAGGGTGAACATAAGACAATATCATCAACATAAAAGAGATGGTTAATAAGAGAAGGACCTAAACAGCATCCGTCAGAATTGTATTAACTTGAACACAAAAATAATTCATGTATAAATTAATTAGCAGGGGAGATAACCTCCTTGTCATACTCCATTACCAATAGTAAATTTATTGAATATTAAGTCAGCCCAAAAAATTTGAGCTGTTTGACCAGCATACCAGACAATAAGTAAGTGTAAAGTCATACCAGAGACAATTTTAGAGAGTTTCAAAAACAATGTGTCAAAGAGAACTCTATCAAATTTAAGTATGAGATAAGTAAAAATTTTAAAGATCTTTCACACACTGTCCAACCTGGCATAGGTTGTTTTTTTTATTAAGATTTAGTAAGACAGTAATTGAGAATTTTGTATAGTCAATTAATCTGTCTGATAGATATAAATCTTTGTATAGTGTTTGATGTGCTTGTGATGTGTGATGTGCTTGTGAAATGTGATGTGCTCGTGTAAATTACAGTGAACATTTCTACAGTTAATTACTTCAAACAGATCTATGTTGATTATTGACACAGAGTTAAATACAGTAGAAGTGCACTCTTTTATCATATTAGTTGACATAGCAACAAAATTTATTTTGGTAAATCTTGTAAAGGTTGGAGGAAGAGATATCAAGTTAAAAAAAAATATCAAGCATTAAGGGCAAGTGTTCAAAAGAATTGGTAGACTGAACTATTAAAGTTACTAACCAAGCAATACATGAAGTGGTGCCCTATGCCTCTGTAACAAAAGTTAAGGAATCTTGTGAAAGACAGCTGTCAGCTATAACTAGATGTTCATCAGTACAAAAGTTGGTTAGAAGATTATTACATGGAAATGGGAATTGTGGGTCACAATGAAAGTCATCAATAATAACACAAGGCTACAAAAAATTTGCGCAAAACTTGAATGTTTGAAACTCACAAACAAATTCGAATATTTCTGAAGTTCGAAGTTATATATATTTACTAGACATTCTCATTTCATAATCTGATACTGATTTTGGCATTAAAATTATATAAATAAAAATGAATGGAGTTAAAGAAAATGACAAATGAAAGTTTATTAGAAACTTCTATTTATAATAACATAGGCAATAATAACAAGATAACATAGACAAAGGGAAAACATTAACAGTGCATCATTTTATGCAAATGAAAGTTGCAAAGTGAACAATTTATAATATTATTAAAAGAGCTGATGACAATATTGACCTTAAAAGAAAGTCGAGAAGCAACAGAAAACCATACAAAATGGATATAAGAAAAATTACTTCACTCATTAACAAGGCTGAAAATAAAGTTGGAATCTCGCAGAGGAAACTTGTATCAAAATATGGAATTCATAGGAATTATGTTTATAAAATTTTTAACATGCATGGACTCTAATATATTATAAAAAAAAGAAAGCACCAGAAAGCTCTAAAATTCAAATTAATAAACAAAAACAATGACTGTTAAAACTTTCGAAAACTTTTTTCTGACCCTCAAATCAGTTTGAAATTATCATGGATGACGAGTCCTATATTACATTGAGCAGCCAAAACACACAAGGAAATGATGGCTTTTATAGTCAAGATATAGACAAAACTGAAAACAATATTAAATATAAGTTTAAATTAAAGTTTCAAGCAATTAAGGCCCATTGAGACATTTTGGGCTCACCTAAAACAGAGAGTCTATTCCAAAGATTTCAAAGCAAAAAATCTTAACTACCTGAAAAAGAGAATTCAACTTAAGTTACAAGATTCCAGTCCAGAATACTTTGAAACCTTCTTTACTCGCTTAAGACTAAAATTCGCTACGTTGTTGATCATGGGGCAATTTCAGTTATAAGATGATCTATTATTACTATCCTTATTTATTTGATCAGTTGTGACAAAAGAATATAACTTGAATGACAATTATGAGCAATTTTTATGCAAATTTTTAGTAGCCTCGTCTTAGCAAACACTTGAATCTGAGATAAGAGCTGACAACCAAAGTATTTAGAGTTTTTTATAAACATTCTCATTTGAGTCACAATGTGCGTATACATTGATAATTAAAAACTAATCAGAAAAGTCATTTACAAGTTGGATAGCAACAGACCAAATATTTTCAGTAGTAATAACTTGAGTCCTGCTGAAGAGAGATTAATGGTACAGAATAGCAACACTATCAAAGGGTTTGTCACAAATAAAACTTGCTGAGGAACCAGTTGACGATACTCCAAAGCCATATAAACTGGGTACAATGTTATTCAAGGTACTGAGTTCAGTTTCAAGTAACCACATTTCTTGGAAGCAAATCATATATATATATATATATATATATATATATATATATATATATATATATATATATATATATATATATATATATATATATATATATATATATATATATATATATATATATGATTTAAAATAAGCCCTAATTCCAAACACCCCTTTGGAATTAGGGCTTATTTTTATGTTTTATGGTAACCCCTTTGTTTATATGTCCCCTTTTAATTATTTTTAGAGCTCATTTAATTTTTTTAGGAGAATCTTTTTTTAATGCCTGCATTTAGAAATTCCTATTTTATTTCATTCTTTTTTCATGCCTGCATTTAGAAGTTCTCATTTTTTGTTTAACAAACATTTTTGGTTCGCATGTGTAATTATTTCAAATTTTTCTTGTAGACATAAAATGCATTTTTTGGAAATATTATTATATTCAGGTACTATTTTAAGGATGCACCAATTCAATATAAAATCATCAATACTTTTATCTTTTGATTCCCAATGTGTGTTATATATTTATATATTATACTATAATATATATATGTATATATATACACACACATATGGGATATTATATTATAAAAGTATTAACATAACCATGCTTTAAAAATACCTAATGGGATACAAAGGATAAGTTAAAAGCAGCACCCAATTCAACATGGTCCATCATAAAAAAGTGTCCCGCCTACAACAACATAACTAAAAAGTACCTATTATGCTTATATAAAAAACTAATAATTTTTGTATAAAAATC